TAGAGACAGGGTCTTGCTCGTGCTCAGGCTGGTCTCGAACTCTGACCTCGAGCAATCCTCCCACCTTGGCCTCCCAGAGTGCTAGGATTACAGGCGTGAGCCACCACGCCCGGCCTAAACTCTTGAATAATTAAAATTAATCACATAACTCGCACCTATGTATAAGTGTGACATGATTTGGGATTCAGGATTACAATTCTGTGAGCTTGAAATGATTAGAGGCAAACTGAGAGATCTATATTTTCTCTTCTCTCTCCACACCCTCCCTCTTCAATCTGAAGACTCAGAAATTATCCCAAACTATAGCAAGGTGGGGTATTTGGGAATGAATAAACTATTCTCATCCAAGGAGTTAGGTTTCTAGTTATTATCCATAAACGGATGAAGAGCCATGGACATTGGAACAAGAATTAACACTGGGAGGAGGGAATCTCACCTTTGGAATATCTCTAGGATAATATTTTTCAGGTAAACCCCACCCCCTGCCAAATCCTATTCTGGGTAATGATGAACTTAAATGTCCAATCTGCAAAGAAAATGCTCACAAGAGACCTGCTGACTCAAGAATTTAATTCCTGCCCAATTGGAATACTGCCAACATTTTTCTGTTCCTAATATGAATGTGTCTGCAGTTTAAATAAGAGATTTTTTTCTGACGAAAAACAGTGGGTAGTTTGGGTGTTGTCAGCATTTCAGGTAAGATTGAAAGGTTGCCCTTGCAACTGGGTTTGTTCTGCTAAATTTAGAGTAAGCATTGTGTGCAATAGTAACAGAGGTGAGCACCTAGGACACAGTTTTAGGAAAAGAGCTTTCAGTTTCCAGTGGACAATTTCAAAGAAGATCTTACCAGTCACCCTTAAGATCTATTCCAACCATGGCACTCTATGATTCTTTGGATTCTCAAACTGGTACCTACCCATTGGCAGAGGTCTGGGCTGGCTGGAAGACTAAAAGGGAAAAAATAAAGACAGTCTCTTTCTATATTAATTATCGGCTTTTTGAGGAATCTCAAGTATTCCTTAACAACCCTACCTAAAACCTAATGAGAAACTCCACTATGAAAAAGGTTTGACATCTTCACTCTCCACTACCATACTCAACCTGACCCTGCTTCTCCAAACAGCACAAGGTAAACAAACCTACATGTCAATGTTTCCATTCACCTTCTACCTGAGGGGGGAAATGGAGGAAAATGGAGGGGTAGAGACTTTGGGACAAAGCTTCTGCCCAGTGTCATCAAGTTATGCCTTGAAATTACCCCTCATTACAGCTAATTATATCAGTGGTGTCCTTACATTCCCCACGGAGCAATGCTCATTGCCCAAAAGATGTGAGTTCAATTTTGAGTACAAATCCCAAATGAGGAAACTCTGGGCTAGTCCAGCTTTCTTTATTATTTGCTATTTTCCCTTATAAATATGTTAATAAAACAACAATAATAATTTCCCTGGAAGGCAATACTCTGCCAAAAATAAAATGCTTCAGAAATGTGAGCAATCTGCTGGCCCCATCTTGATCAACCCTGAAGATTCCCAGGTTCAAGGCCATTGGTCATGTGGGGTTGTAACCAGGCACTGCTGTAGCCACAGACTCCCCGTCTTTCTGGTCTAATTCTCTCGTTATAGAATAAGCCACTGATCCATTGGTCCATAACTGCAGCTTGGGGTCAGATTCTTTGGCAAGAAATGGCAGCTGGGTTTTTTTCATCCTCTTTACAAGTCTAGCAAAGCCAAGCAACACGGAACTAAATATCATTGAAAATCCACAGAGAAGGAATGCTGCAGTGTAGCTGCCAGTTGTATCTACCAGCCATCCTGTAACAAACAACAGCAAAATCATATTGTTGAGTTGAAAATTCAATTACTGACCCACCCTCAAACCTAATAATTGAAAGGATAAGAGCAATAGATTGCTAGCACCACCATTATAATTTTGAGACAAAAAGCAGATCACCTAAAAATATCGTGCAGCAACTGAAAACTACATTCTATTTTCCAGAGAAACTTCTAAAATGAATTGATGGTTATTATTATGTAAAGTGCTTGGAAGAGTATCATGTACTTACTAATCACATTACTTACTAATATTAGTTATTATTAACCCCATGATATCTGGTAGAAAAGATAAAAATAACATCATTCAAATTATTGAAGTTGGGATAATTTATCTAGGGTGTTAAGAGAATATGAGGGATGTCCAGAAAGTATCCAGCCATGTAATATGAAAAATGGAGACATTTATGTCTGGATACTTTCCAGCCAGCCCTTGTATAATCAGGCAAAATGCTAGTAACATTCCCAGCATTCATACACTATCTTGAGTAACATGACATGCTTACAAGAATTATCCAAATTTTCAGTTGAATTCAGTCATTGTATCCATCCAGTTTGAAAATCAGAACTTTGTGCAATTTTAGAAGTTGCAAATGCACACATCTGAAGCCATACTTCTGTAACCATTGGGTTTTTTTCTTTATCTCTTCTTGCAACAAATTAATCTCAGTATCTATCCCAGCCTTGAATTTTGAGGAAAACCAGGGACCAGATGCAAAATAGGGACCAGATGATCAGAGTATCAGTAGGGTAAAATTATACCTGGGCAGACAATTATTTTGTGATTAACAAAAATCCTTCAAACTTTACTTCTATGCCAAGAAAACCTACCAGAGAAGTACAGGGTTTCTCCTTTTACCCACTTCAAATTGATATAAGCCCCACAAAGTTTTCTACAAAAACTACTCTCAAATATTTTGGTTATCTTGTTATTTACTTGTGCATTTCGGTAGCACCAAACAGAAAAGACCAAGTAGAGAGTTGTCATTTGAAAGGTAAATAAATAAGAGAAGTATTATTAATATAATAAGAACTCACATCCTAATCCTCTAATTCTCAGTAATGAGTATAATTTCCCATTTGCCAAATGAAGGCCACGGATTGAAAAAGCATCCGGGAATCCCAATTTCATTTGTGTCCTGTGACCTTTCATAGAATCACAGTGTTCCTAAGGTTAGTGAACACTAAAATTGGCTATGGAGGGAGGATGTGGGAACATTTTGGAGGCAGTTTTCAAAAATGAAGCACTAAACATAAGGTCCTAAATCATGGAATTTAAACTGACCAAGATTTTCGACTGCATCAGTAAAGCAGCCACTATTTATTTTCCCTAGTTTGCTGGTTCCCACCCACCACTCCCCAACTGCTGGGTTTTGGAAATAGCCTGAAACTATCTATTCACAGTAACAGCTAATAGCAGAAACCCTGCTTTCTTCAAAACATTCCCTTTCTTATTTCTGGGAAAATGGCTGGCCCATTTCTCTTTGCCTGTCTTCAGAGACCTTGTTCACTCTCTCAGTTTTAATTTAGGCAGATAATAATCTGGACCACTTATTCTCAATATTTACTGTGCACGTGCATCAAAAGAAAAGCAGGTGAAAATGTAGACTTTTTGAACTAAGCCCCCCACCCCCAATAAAGACTCGGATCATCAGTGGGAATGTTAAGGAATCTGTGTTTTAACAAGGGCCCTAGGGGGTTCTGATGCAGGTGGTCCCAGGATCTCATTTGGAGAGACACTGGTCTAGACCACAAGCTCCAGGAAGCAGAAACAGGTTCTGACCTGTTTCCTGCTGTCTCTCCAGGCCACCAAGCAAAATGCTAGTTATACAGGCAATAAATATTTGTTGAATTACTGGTTACCGCATGCAATAAATATTTTTCAAATAATTTGTTTAATCATTCTTTAAATTTCTGTAGCATTTTACAGTTTTCAAAACATTCTAGATGCTTTATATGATGACTCCGAAATCTATATATCCAAATCTGGCCTTCCTCTAAAGCTCAGATTTCATCCTTAAACAACTCTATTGAGCATTTTCACCTGTGTGTTTCAGATATCTCAATATATCTAAACATTAAATTCATTATTTTTCAGGCAAAGCCACTGTCTCCAATTTCCTTATCTTTTTCAACCATGATATTATTTACTAAGTCATCTTTGACTTCTTTCTCTCCTTCACCCTCGTGTACTAAATTCGGTTGATTTTTTCCCCAAAATCTCCTCCTTGCCCGCAGAGCTCATTTCCATTTCTGCTGCAGCCGCCAGCCCTAGTTTAGGCCTTTATCAGTTTGCTCCTAAAATATTAGAATGGAATACTAATTCTCTCTCCCCTAAATTACTAGATCAATTACTAGATTACATTTTCTAAAATATACTCTTCACCATATTATCCCTTTGCACAAAAACTTTAATACTACCCATAGTGTCTTAAGAATAGAGCCCACCTCCTTGGCTTGGCACTCAAAACACTCCACTGTGACACTGGCACTTATCATTTCAGCCTTACCATTTCACTGCCCCCTACTAGAATCCTGTACTCCCATCAGACTTCCCTCCGAATGTGCCCTGCTTACTTGCAAGTCTGAGCAACTGCTCATCATTATTCCATTGCTCCCATCATTAGTATGGAAAGAAATCAAGTCCCTAATATGGGACTTTTTCTTTCCAGGGAGGCTAAGGTTCCCACTTGGTTGGAAGAAGACTATAAAATGAGGATGTAGGTGAGACCCTGATGTTTTTGGTGGCTCCTGCACCCCTTTTCTCTTTCACTCTTCCCCAATTCTGTTGCCAATCCTTCTCATTATCTGTGTGTCGGTTCACTGCTTTCATGTCAATATGACAAAGAGAAGAGGTGGTTGGGGGTTCTCCCTGGAAACTTACCTGCAATGGGTGGGCTCACCAAATATGGCACTGCATGAAGGAAGTACACCACACCAAGCGCTGATGACAAAGATGTGGTCCCCACTATCTCTGCAGTCACTACTGGGATCAAGGTCACATAGGCACCATCGAAGTAGCCAAAGGTACAAGAGAAAGGCACAAGCAGTGGGAGACTTTGAAGCATTGGGAGGCAGAGGTAGCAGAGCCCATCCAGTCCCACAGCAACGAGGTAGCAAACATATCGGTAACTCTTCAGACACCTGTGGATTTGAGAAACTAAAATGAGTGCAGGATGCACTAAGGTTCTATAAATCACATCCATGCAGCAATAAGCACTGCAGCTATTTATGGAGATGGCTTCCCCATTGTGCATTATCTATGTTGTCTTCCCCTCTTTCTTTTTTACAAACGCAAGAATTCATCTCCCCAGGAAGCATGGTGTGGTAGAAAGAAAATATGGAATATATGCTCTCAAATTAGAAAGGTAGAAGTTCTATGACCCACTAACTGCCTAACTTTAACTTCAATTTCTTTAGCTATAAAATGGGAAGGTTACCTATCTATCTCATCACAGCGTTTCTCTAAAGGTAGTTGGAAATAACATGCAGTGTGTCAGGAGGCTAATATTTCCTAGCAGCCAACCACATTAGATGCTCCAGATATGTTATCTATTGGTATCTGGCACGTGATAGATGCTTGATAACCTGAGTGATTATACAAAGGGGAAGCTGTAATGTGAAGACATCAAAATGATTCCCAGAGAGGATGAAGGTCTTGGACTAGAAGAAAGTCTTATTTCAAGACTTCCCCAGTGGTACTTCCATCACATTTTCCCTCTGTAACTCCAACCCGTCTATGATACCAGTTATTTCAAAGACTCTGTATAGTATCAGCTCCAGCAGTTTATGCTTTACAAACATTTTTCTCTCCACAGCCCCATGTGAGCCTTACAAAATGGTATGAGGTCAACAGGCAAACATTGCACTGGACTGTTTTACAGATGATGACCCTTGAGGATCTGAGGGTTAGGTAACTTTCCACAGGTCATGGGGCTAATAAGGGACAGAGCTGGCACAAGAACATAGGTCTTGTGTGTCTGACTAGCCATGCCTCCATCAGACCTACATGCTGCTGCTTCTTGCCAAGTTATTCGATTGTGAAGATAGGTACCCCTTGCTCTCCTCCTTCTTCCTTAACCATTAATAATGTGGAATTAATCCTAAATATTACATCCATAACACTGGAGAGTGGCAGTTGTATCCTGATTAATTACCAGTGACATAATTTGTGAGAAGCTACATGATAATAGCTCTCCCAAGTCGTAGCTCAAGTGTGAAGAGTCCATCATTTAGGAGGCCATGAGTAGCTTGCACTTTTCAATCCAAACAGATGAGCATTTACTGAAGAAACTACTGGGTAGATTTCCTATGACTTTGGTTTCTAAGCCTACAATTGCAATGAAAGTACTTGCTATTTTTACTGTCAAACATACAATATATGGCTGCAGTGTTACTATCGTACCTGATCCCCTTGCCTGGACTGGGTTCTGCTCCTCCTGCCATTGGCAGGCAGTCTCTAGGGTGGCTCAAGCACAGCTAAAACCACAACACTCAGCCTAAGGTTGTCTTGCCTGAGGACTGACTTCACTTGGGATGAAACTAAATCTATCACCAGAACTTGTAGCTACCCCAGGCTTCTGCAATTTAGACAAACCCACCATCCTAAAGCAACTAGAACAAGGGTTGGTAAATTATGGCCAAATTAAGCCCACCACCTGTTTTTGTACTCCCTGTGAACTAAGAATTGCTTTTCCATTTTAAAATGCTTAGAAAAATGCCCTAATCCCCCAGGGTCGGGAGGTGTTTTGTTCTTGCTTTAAGTCAGGAGTCACAAATGACTTTTTTTTCAATTAAGGAAAGGAAAAAACCCACCTCTACCTTTATAAGCACCCGGAGCCCCTGCACCGTCCCTGCGTCTGCTGCTGCTAATGACAATACGATGCTTACTCTGCTACTCAAGAACTATTTTTATGTAATTAATGTATGCTTTTTTGTTTATAAATGCCTGATTTAAAAAGAAAAAAAGAAAAGCTTGGCCAAAAAAAAAAATGGTTAGAAAAAAAATCAAAAGAACAATATCTTGTGACATGTAAAAATTATAAGAGAAATTCTAATTTCAATGTATGTAAATAAAGACTTATTGGAACATAGACACTCTCATTTCTTTACATATTATCTATGCTTTGGGGCTACAACAGCAGAGTTGGGTAGTTGCGACAAAGATCACATGGCCTACAAAAACCAAAAAATGTTTACTGTCTGTCCCTTTACAGAAAAAGTTTGCCAACCCCTGATCTAGAAGAGCCAGCAAGGGAGCTGCCTTCAGATATTGCAGACTCGTTAACGTTATTCGGACCTTGGGAGTCCACAGGGAAAAGCGATGAGGAGAAACTCAACGCCTGAAGTCCCTGGGTGGAGAATCGATCGTAGTTTCATGGATTTTACCTTCTGTCGGTCAGCCATCCAAATGTGATATTGCCAATAATGTCAATCACCCCCAGTATGGACATAAGAAAAGCAGCTTGCTGGTGACTCACTCCAACACTCAAAGCATAAGGCACCAGGTACACAAAGAGAGGGCTGCAGCCGTAAGCCATAAACAGAACAGAGATGGCTAACACGACAAAGTCTGACATCAGTACAAAACTGTATTCCTGCTGCAAAGAGCAGCAGAGGCAAGTCTGTGCCCATTTGTTGGTCAAAGGTGAATAGGGAGAAGCCCGTTTAAAGTCTTCTTTCTGAGTTCCACGGACGTCGTTCTGCTCTGGAGTTGTATGGTCCTCTTTAAGAGTAATTGGCCTCATCAAGGCACCACAAACACAGAGATTCAAAACGAAGCCCCCAAGAATGAGCAATGCTCCCCGCCAGGAGAACTGTTCAATGAGGAGCTGAACCACAGGAGCCAGGATGAAGGTGCCAATACCACTTCCCGACATGGCGATCCCATAAGCAAGGGCTTTCCGTCTGCTGAAGTACTTGCCAACCATGGCAATGGCTGGGGAGTAACAAAGTGCAAATCCAAGACCTGAGGATAAAGAGAACCCTGTGAGTGCTGGTGCACCATGAACAGCCACTGAAAGAAAATATCTCAGAATCAATTTATTTAGATTAAAGAGAACCTGACCTTCTGTTAAACCCTTTAAAGCTGTTTCCTACACCAAGCTGAAAATGAGTTTCCCCTTACCAGTCATTCGCAATTTGGAAAATATAGAATATATATGACTTTCTTCTTAGGAAGAACACCCTTAAGGAAATATGACTTCTTAAACACAGTTAAATGAAGAATTTAAAAATCATTATACAAACTAACTTGGAATTAACTAGAATATCTGCATAGTGCCAACCAAAGAAACTTATCCCTCCTCCTCCTTTTTTTTTTTTTTTTACTTAAATTATCCAGATAATTTCCCTAACTCTTCACTGCCTGTAAAGACTCAGCACTGATGATCTGTACCACTCCGGAATTTGGATTGAAATAGCATGCATCAATATAACTCCATAAAAGTTCCAGAATAATTTCACATAGTTGGGAAACATCATTCAATCTTTTTACATGAACATAGCAATCTGAAAACATCCCTTAAGGTCAGCAGAAAAGTGTTGATGGTCCAGAAATCTTTTTAAAAATCTTCAGCTTCTATTACTTTTTAAGTCAAGAAAATCTGAAGGGATGTAAGCCTGGATTTCATGGCAATTAGAATGTCAGAGAAGGAAAAAGAGAACTACTTTCAGCTCCTGTTTCCATCTGCAGTGCAGGGTACCCAGCAATCCAGAGTTGACTGAGGAGTTTCTTGATGTGGTGGGACTTGCAGTGCTAAAGCCAGGACAGTCCCTGGTAAACTGGGACCACTGGTCACCAGAGCAGTCAGGCCTCATGGGTTACTAGGGGCAGATGTACCTTCTTTAGCTGACAGAGCCAGATTTATAGCCTCACTGTGATGTTACATCCTTTCTTGGCCTGATTCATGCTACCCCAGTGGCACAAGGCCAAGACAGGAGTTGGTGCTACTCTCCTCATCCCTCTGCAAACTGCTACTCTAGACCCACCAACCAACCCCATCTTGATCCTATGTAGTCCCTTTAAGTGTGATTTATGGAATGCACATATACTGCTTCTCTTTCCATGGGATTCATTATGATTCACTAAAGTGATACTTCCACAGCATTGAGAATGAATGTGTACATAAGAATATTCACAAGGGGCTTTCTTTTTTAAATTTAAAACTCACATTTGTTAGACAATGATATTCATTATAAAACAAGGTCAACTCAGGTTGACCACAGATAGTATTTTAATGTCTTGGCAAAAAGTTTGCAGAATAACCATTGCTGAAAATTTATGTCACCCTGCGTAATATCTAGTTTCTTCTGAGTATAGAAATCTCAGTCATACACTAATGCCAAAAGGAAAAGCCAGCAGTTATTTTTATCATATAGCAGAATTAAAGTGGTAACATATTACCATTATGGTAGTGCAATCCCATTTCCAACTCCATTTAATTGCTAGGTAGTAGACATAAGCTAGGTCAGCTAAATTACGCATCTAACAAAATGAATATTTTATGAATCACTACTCTGTTGATGTGCTTGGCCACCCCTGGATGGGGTGAGTGAGACAAGTAGACAAAGGTGCAAAGTGCCCTTACCTGTAACAACTCCCAGGGTGAGGTAGAGATGCTTCAGACTGGTGGCAAATGAGCCCAGGATGAGACCAGTAGATGCAAGCAAGCCACCCAGCATGATTCCCACTTGACAGGATAAACGGTTACTGACAACACTCCCAAGTGGAGCTTCAAAAACAATAATAAATAAGTTCAACAGAAAGGCCTCGAGGGCGCTGTGGAAACCGTGGTGTTGCGCTGGCAGAGCAGAGAACAATTGCCCTTTGAAAACATTGAGCCCACCCCACTAATTCCGCAGCTTTGGAAACTGAGGCCCAGAGAGAGGATGTGATTTGTCCATGGTCGCTCAGAGAATAAATAGCAAAACCGGACTAGAACTTAGAACTCAAGGCTCCTGACTTGCATTTCAGTGCTCGTTGCTCATCTTCACTCCATTACAGCCATAATACCAGGACTATTGAGTGTTTTTAAAACGGGATCCACTCTTTATTGAAACTACATGTCACTTGCACAGGGATGTTTGCTATAGTATTGATCATACACCATTAGCAATAATGATGACAGTTAATTGGTAGAGAAAGAAAGTGGGCAGCACTGTGACCAGCAGTGTTATGCAGTAAAAGACCTGGGAGAGAAAGCATAGACAATTCTGCAATGTGGCACTGCTTTCAGGCTGTAGCACACACACCCTATGCATGAAAAATCAAAGCTCAGAAAAATATAAGAAAAATTCTTCATGCCCATAGTGACATTCTAGCTGACCTCACTCTATTTGTGGTTTACCAATGTGTCAGAATTGTGTGACCTCAAAGCTTATAGAATGTTCCTTAAATGTGTAAGAGACCAAAGAGGAACTGAAGTTCAGGGGATGGCATGCCCAAGGGCACCAAGAAGTACAGCTCAGGGCACCTGACCCCAAGTGTGAGGTTATTTTTCCCTTTTCCTCCTTGGGTCTCCCAGACTAATGACAGGAGTGATGAAAGGCATGTGAATTTCTTTCTAAGGAATAATTCATGCTGACACCAGTACTCCTAGTAACAAGATCAGAAGAGCTGATTCTCTGGGTATCTGTAGAATATGATCATTTTTGTATTGATCAGGTTGAAACTGGAGGCCAACTCAAATGCTCAACTCAAATGAACTTTTCTGTTCATCACAGAGCAGATCTGTTCCCAGTTAGTGTCACAGATGTGATTCTGCAGCCTCTTGTCCATACTCTGAATGCTAATGTTCTGATGTCATGTTACGAGGTGAGCAGGTAGGTATATGGTAATTAGGTACAACAGGCCTCTCTTTCTTTCATAGAATTTTAATATGCTGTTTCTGACATGATCCTGCTCAAAGCTTCACTCGAGTCATTGTGACCATATTGGTCACCTAAGGCCATTTACTCCTCTGTTGGGGATTATGAATATTTTCCAAAAGATGACAGTGAGGAAGATGAGTCACCTTTATCTTCTCAGAAAGACGAACACAGCTCTTGGCATGCTGATACAAAGGCTGTGACTAATAACGTGACCCTGAAAATCAAATGATTGTTTTACTCGTTCCAAAAAAAAAGACAAGCTACAAAACCCAAATATATGATTTTTTGAGCCTTTAAGACCTTCTTATTGATTCAGAGAATCAACTTAGCCATCTCATGAAACCTGCTTTTAATCCTAGAATTGCTCTCAAATTCCACCCAACCAAGGAAATATATTTCAGCACAATTCAACTGATTCCTGAGCATACATATTTTTCTAAAATTAACTGAGTCAGTACCTAGAGTGGAATCAGATAAAGTTACTATGAGTTACTGAGTAATAGTATAGTATTTGTCTTTTGCCACTGAGACAAGACCTGAAAAGATGAAAGTTTTCTAAAAATACTCAGGACTCATTCAAATGCAAATAATTTGATTCAATCTTAGAAATTCTCTAAGACACCAATTTAATAACTTTATTATCCTCTACTATTAATATATAGATGGAATGTTAGTTTCCATGAATTTCTGGAACAACCTACATACCCTCTATAACACCTTTCTGGTTTGTTGAATAAAATTATAGCCATAGTGAATAGGTTTAGCTCATGATTACACAATCCATCCTTCACCAATACTTCTCTAAGCATGAAGATTTATGCATGAAAAAGATGAAATCCATGAGCCAAATTTTGAAGCTTCTGGGAAGGGAACAGAATGCAGACCACGACTTGAGAGGTGATGCAACACTGCTGGCACTCATTTAGGGAGATCATATAGCAATGGCTCATGGTGCTATGCAATGGCTGTTGACATGACTAGAGAATGAGAAGGTCATACCATTTGGAAGAGAGAAGCCAAGCATATGCTGTATGGTGAACTGCTTCCAGAATTAGGACAAGTTCTGCAATGCTCAGCATCCTATCTCTATATGGAAGAGCCAAATGGTATGTGTCCTTTTGAGTGTATCAACTATAATACTTGTTCCATCTGACATCAGCCAAAACCATTGATTCCAAGAACAAGTCTGGTTGGCTGTAGCCAAAGCTAAGATTGATATTTTCTTTTTGCATATAGTTAGCCAGTTTTTAACATAGCCCTTCTACTTAGAAAAACTAGTAATCAAATTCAGTGGAAAGTTGTGGTCATGTACAGTTCAAGAGTAGCCAGTAATTGTCTATCCTGGTAAGTGATACTCACCACAGAGCATGGTCACACAGTCTACAATGGAATGGATCCATGCTGTTTGTGCATAATCCTGAGCGAAGTATGTCTGGAACTCCACAAAGAAAATTGAGATACATCTGAAAAATATAATGCAGGCATTTTATACAAAAAGCAAATGAACATGGATTTGAACCAGAACTTACAAGTTTTGGTTCAATTAGCTATTCCAGTCTCTAAGAGTTTTAATTGCTGTACCATAATAAGTGGGAAATCAGAAGTTGAACATTTCCATTCTGGAGAACGAGAAGAACAAGGGGCTGCTGAAGCCAAGTAGATATGAAGGTCACTGCTCCAAGGAACATTTAACGGAAAAGAAATAAGGTCAACAACATGAATTCTTATCCATCTTAGTATTCTGCTAGCATCTATAACTTCTAAAAGGTTGTTATACAAGTTAAAATTTGGTAATAAAGAGTTATATATCACCTAACAATTTCACTTCTAGGATTTATACAAAGGTAATAATCAGATGATAATAATAATAATAGATATATAAAATGATATATTCTGAAGAACTATTTATAATAGCCAAATATTATAACCAATCTAACTATTCATCAGTAAAGGACTGATTGAATAAATTATGGTATAGCAATAAAATGAAAGATTATTAAATCTAAAAAATGCTGATGTTGATATGTACTTTTTGATTTGGAAATAAATTCACAATATAATGTTAGGTAAAAAAGTAAGTTATAATACAAAGTAGTATATTTGGTAAGAACTTATTTTTATAAAAACATAGTTTATATAAATAAAGCCTGAAAGCATATATACAAATATGTACTCAATCATTATATGTGAACGGTGAGAAGTGATCATTTCTGTCTTTATTCTGCATTTTGAATTATTTTACAATAAACATGATTTCTTATATAATCAGAAATGTGTGTATGTGTGCATGCTTATGTGTGCAGAGACAGAAATATTTATGTTGAAAAACAGTTAATTACTTAGGGAAGAAAGTCATAAGTGAACCATAAGCAACAGTTTGTATCACTGTACAACTTGGGAGAGCTTCATACAGATTAGCATGGTGCCCTATTCTGGGCAGGAAACTTTTAGAGCTGGTGATAACAGGGAAAGAGATCAGGCCTGTGGCTTGGGAATGAGATAAGAGGTTATTAATCTTTTTGGATAGGGCTAAATTCCAACTCATCATGCTTCAGCAGCCCAGAGTAACCTGTTATTTTCACTCTCCCTCTCCTTTCCAGTTGCTGTTAGGTGTGAAGGTGGGTGGTGGACAGCTTGGAGAAGAAGGGAGAGAACCAGATATAATCAGACAGCTGTGTGAGGCACGGCCAGCTTCATGCGAGTGCAACCTACACAGAGGCACAGAGCCTGGCACTCAGAAGGATGAAACTTGATTTAGAGCTCAGCCATCACTGACTTAAAATTCTTAATAATTTTATCTCTGAATTTGTGTTTTCGCGTGAGGTCCAATGGAGGCGGCACGTGAGCAGAAGAGATGCCCTTGATACGTGTGTCTGCAGTTCTGTGCCGCTCCATTCGCATGGAGCACTAGAGATGTCCCAAGAGCACAGAATTCTGGTGGACCCATGATTCAAGGGAGTTCGGTGAGACTCAAAACGAGTACAAGGTAAGTGGGTTACGTCTATGACTGAGTAGGCGTGCAGGTAGGGAGAAAGAAATCAGGCTTTCCTTTTGAACCAAAACCTGCTTCAAATGCAGAAAGAAGGCAGTGGTGTTCTAAGAATCACAAAAGACCAGGGATTCCTATCACATCCTTTCTTACTCATGTTACTTCTCTGTATTAGCCACCACTTATGCTGAGAATGATGGCATAGAAAGAAAGGGAAAGACAAGGCCACCTACATTTCCTTCCTTTTCAGTCCTTTCTTACCCACCAGTAAGCTGAAGAAAAGAGAATGTTGACAGGGTGGGCAAGTATCAAGAAGTCAGAAACAGCTGAGTTAGTTCTGTGCAGGATTTCCATTGTTCTGATAAAAACGAAATACATATGCATTTATGAGCTACCAAATAAGAGTTGTGTAACTTCAGTGATTCCACATATGAGTTCAATACTCACATTTGCATTTAAAACAGTCATTGCATAATATAAAGATGACAGTCAATTCATGCTAACATTTAACATTCCCATTTTTCTTTACTTACAACAACATTAAATAGCAAATTTAAAATGCCGTGAACAATTGAGAGACCACTGAAGAAAGCAAAAGGCTTTCTATTTTAGTACTTTTAGCAGCAATTTTTTTTCTGGTTTTTGAACAAGGGGCCCTGCATTTTCATTTTGCACTGGGTCCCCAACTATATTGTTGGTCCTGGTGACAGGAAAGAGAAAAGAGAACAATGTGAAGAGCTAAATTCTAAGTCCCACTGGATGCTGGGATGGAGCTTCGTGTGCCGGGTATAGAGCAAGGATCAACATTTGTGGAAGGAAAGTGAAGGACACAGGATTAGGCAGAGAGGTCACAGTGCAAGGCATGCCTGACAAATTCCCAGACAGTCCTGAATGAAATGGTCCCGCCTTGAAACACCTCCCTCAATCAGTCACTGGATGTGGGCGCCCCGGGAAGGGTGTGCTCTTGGGAGAGGCAGCTTTCTGCAGGTGAGGGACACCTGAGGACTGACAGCTGCAGGCTGTGCTGACTGTACGCCTGGCAGCTGCAGCTGAGGCCAAATGAGAGGCACATCTCCGTGTTCACCACAGTCCAATTCTTGCTCTCCACACTGAGCACTGTATGTAATTCTCTGTCAAAGCGATATAAAAAGTGATCCTTCTCCATGTAGGGACTGAAGAAGCCAGACACGCAGCAGTAGATCTGATGCTAGATTAATACTTATATCAGCACTTAGAGTACTGAAACACAGTCACATCTAACAATGCGGAGAATAGTAACATGAACTACCTGGCTGATTGTATGAACTTAAATTTAATGAAAATACTGCAGATCTCTTTTAAAAGCATGGATTAACTGCAACTGTTCTTCATGCCAGCACCTTTCTCCCAAACTGCAGCCAAAACCCTTCTAACTGATCTTCTTGAATTCGCACAAGGCTGCCTTCAGTACATTCTACACTCAATGGTCAGAGCGAACTTACTAGAACACAAAGAAGATTCTGAGGCTTCAAACTTTATAACCTGATTTAAGAGACTGCACGGGCTGTCCCTTCCCAGTGTGTCAACTTTCTGCCCACCCTTGGGTTCTTCACTTCAGCCATACTAAACTTCTTGCTACTTCTTGTAACATGCCACCCACACTTTTTCACACCTCTGAACCTTAAATTCTTTTTCTTTCCTAGGATGCTCTCCTTGCCTCTCTCATTCTTTCAGTCTCAAGATAATATTATAGTCCACTCCTCCAGGAAGGTTTCCCTGGCCACCCCCTGATTACCCAAGGCAGGGCTTATTATTAATACCTCTCATATGTGTTTCCATTACATGCTGGTCATTTACCACACAGGATGGCAATTGCCTTTGCATTTGTTTGTATTCTCCACTAGACTATTGCTCTGTGACAGCAAAGACCACGTCTGCCTTATCTCACACTCAATCCCAGACATCTAGCATGGTACCTGCCATGTACTGAATACTCATAGATACTATTCAAGGGAGGGAGGGACGGAAGAAAGGAAGGAATGAAGGGATGAAGGTTGGTACAGGAAGTGAGTAGAAGATAAGGAAGTGAAAGTGTTTGAGTTGCAACTTCAAGAACTAGAATGAGAAAGGGAAGAGGAAGACTGGGTGGTGGCTACACAGGAACCTGTGGCTGGGTGGGGGAAAGAGGGGGTGTGAAGAAACTGAGTGTGTTATAGGCTGAGAGCAAGAATCGTAAGAGGGAGCTGCAGGAACTGGAAACATAAGAAGAACGCAGGCTATCTAACAGAAAAGGTCCCACAGGATGATAAGATATTATAATCATAATCTTTTCTTTTCTCTGCACTAAATAATTTTAAGGAACTTATTATTTGTGTGACTATGTTTGTCTCTTGTGAATTTTTTTTTAAAAATCTTGCTTTGTCATTTTCTGCTGGCTGGTTTTCTTAACTGACATGACTAGTCATATCAGTCAAACTTCAGGTATGTGAAAATAAATCAACACCAACACCTGAGATTCTTGTCTGAACATGTAAGCCAACTTGTCAGAGGTAAAAACGTTTAATAACCACACACACGCTTCTGAATGATTGTGACTTTATAAAATATGGGGAAAATATTCTATCACTTCATACCTGTTCTCAAAGGGGAAAAGTACCACAGACCTCTTCGAATGATAAAGTTTCACGACTTATGCCTTCTAAGCACGGGCACAATGCTAAAAAAAATCAGTTTTTATTGGGAGCATGTGTGCATCTCACTCCAAAGATTACTTTTGTTATTTTTGTTGTTTTTTGGAATATTTGTGCAATTACAGATGCCAGGAGATCAGGATTTTGATCCCTGATTCTCATAAACTCTTTATGAGAGTTTATCATAAAGCTTCTTAATCTCTCAGGGTCTCAGTGTCCTCACGCATAAAATGAGTGTTTTGGTAAAGGTGCCTACATCAGTCACAACCAGCTGGATCATGCTACATTAGCAAACATCAGGCTTTGTTGCGTTCGGGGTTCACATGAATGTGGAAACAAAGTATCACTCAAGTGTCATCTGGTGTGAAATGACAACTCAAAGATACTTCCTCTCAAGAGGCCAGCATGATCCGTTGTCTGTCGTGCCACTTTGCTGTAAAATTTCGCTCTGGCTCCTATACAGCAGGGTGCTGACAACATCTGGCATCTGGTAAAGATTTTTCTCTAATTGATGAAGTTATCGACTAAGTCAAAGCAGGAGTTAATCCACTGGGCAGTGTAGCCTAGTGGTTAAAATTACTACCACTTACTAAGCATAGGACTTTGGACATGCTATTAAATCTCTGTGTGTTGTAAGGATTAAATTATTTAATTGATGAAAAATGCTTAAAATAACGCCAACAAGTACAAAGTAAGTGCAGGTAAAGTTAGTAATTATTTACAGGAATTCAACTACTATTAAAGATCTCAGAAGAGCTCCAGAGTTCCATAGGACTCTCAGCATTTATTGCCACTAAATTAATTTGGACCCAGAAGACTTAGGGAAAAGTAAGTCTCGGATCTGCAGATCTGGGTTTTTTTTTTTTTATAACTTTTAAATCAAATGCTGTTTTTCAAGTATCAACTCCAACTCAGTCAATTTACAAATAAAATATCATTCAATTATACATGAAATATGATTCTTAACACAAATAATGTATTTGGTAATAAGATGTCTCAAAGAAAAAATAAGTAGTCAATACACATTCCCAACTAGAGGGGTAAGTAAATAACAACGACTGCTTTAATAGCCTGCACAACTTTGAGCTCTATGCAAATTTTGTGTGGAAGGCAGCATTGTCAGGTATGAGGCAGGAGCCGAAATATGATTTTAAAATGGCCCAGGTCATAACTGTAGCATTGTTTGTCATAACAAAAAACCAAGAAATAATACAAATGTCTATTAATAAAAATGTTACATAGTTATAGACACATCCACACAGTGAAATTTTTTTTTTTTTTTTTTTCTTGAGACAGAGTCTCACTGTGTTGCCCGGGCTAGAGTGCCATGGCGTCATCCTAGCTCACAGCAACCTCAAACTCCTGAGCTCAAGCAATCCTCCTGCCTCAGCCTCCCGAGTAGCTGGGACTACAGGCATGTGCCACCATGCCCGGCTCATTTTTTCTATATATTTTTAGTTGTCCAATTAAGTTCTTTCTAATTTTAGTAGAGAGGGGGTCTCGCTCTTGCTCAGGCTGGTCTCGAACTCCTGACCTCAAACAATCCGCCCGCCTCAGCCTCCCAGAGAGCTAGGATTACAGGCGTGAGCCACCGCGCCCGGCCTCACAGTGAAATTTTAAGCAGATATTTTCCAGCAAGGTAGAGCCATATGTGCTAATATGGAAAGATTTCCAAGAGATAGTATTACATTTTTAAAAAACTCATAACAGTGTGTATAGTATGATCCTACTGATATAAATTAAAAGCATATGCATTTATATATTAATATAACGTTGGTTTTATTGTTTTTCTTTAGTGTTTGGACTGATCTTAAGAAACTATTGATGAGTTTCACTTTAGGCAGTGAAACTAGGATTAGGAAGTAGGAGAAAAAGACCTTTTATTTTCTATACTGTTTGAATTTTTACCATCTCAATGCATGATGTAATTTTTTAAGTTCCGAATTGAACAAATCACCCTAGAGGCTGCTTTCCTTTTTCCCATCTCCAGTTTTTTCGGCTGCTTCTGGTTTATGGTATTTAGATTCAGACTCTGGCTACCTCATCACACGTTTCTCCTCTAAACTTATTCTGCTCAAGTATCCTCCTCTCAGCATCTCCTAGTAACCTCTCATAATAGGCCTTTGCTACCAGCCACAACACTCTTTCCTGGTCTCTGGCCAGACCCCAGGCAGTTCAGGAATGAAGACTGCCCAACCTCACCACCAAGCGAGTAACAGATGAGGTGCACGGCACTGATGCAGCTTGAAACATCTTTCTCTTTCGTTTTTGCTTGGCCAAATACTTCCCATTCTTTAAGACCTCACTCCAAGGACAACTTCTCTAGAAAGCCTGCCCTGAACTTGCAGGTCAGAATTAATCCCTCTCTCAGTGTTATTTTACATTCTATTTTTACCTAAGTTATATTTAGCACATTTTGATTATATTTAGTTATTCATGCCTGAGCCTACTAGATGATGTCCCAATATCTCTGTGTTTTTGGAAGCAGCTAGCACAGAGCCTTGTCAATGAATGCATGGTACATATTAGTGGAATCGATTTCAATTGAATTGAAGTTGAAAACTTAGAGATACAACCTAAAAAATGATGTAAGACTTTGAGCCCTTGAAGGCAGTCATGAGATCTATTGGCTATCCCAGTGTTTTTGAGAGAAAATTGAGAGTCAATGTCCTTCCAAACAAGACAAACCATTTAAGTCGCTGATGAGCATAAAAGACCATCGATAAACTAGTGTCCCTGGTGTAAGTCCTCAATTACCTATCCACATGCACCCCAAGTTATTTCCATAGTTTCAGAGGACAGCATTCAAAAGAATCCATGTACACAATCTCTCCAGCCTCGATGTGCAGTTGTTTGTACAAGAGTTCGGGGTAGCGTCACTCGTGGCCACTTACCAAAAGGACAGGCAGGGTGGAGGGAAATTTGGAAACAACTGTCCCCTCGGCACCATGACTCCTCATCACCAATATGACAACTCCCTGGATATTGGAAGGTAGCCCATCTTAAGGCAATGCTTCCCATAACTAAGGTAGTTTTTTAAAAACCCATGTCTTATAATACTGCGGTTGTTCTAGTGAAAGTAGAGTTTGCACGCTTGTGTATGTATATGTGTGTTGTGTGTATGTATGAGAAATAACAGGATAGAAAGCTATTTCATTATGTGTTGGAAAGAACGATAGTGGTTTTTCTATGTGTGTTAAGAATCAATGGATGATGAGTGTTTGTGCAGTGACAAACAAGATGAGAAGTAAAAAAGAGCAGGATTCCAGTCCAGCTCTGTCCTACTAGCCAAAAAATTAAAGGCAAATGACTTAACTTTCCTGAGCATCAGTGTCCTAACCTATGGGTGGTGAACACACCTATTCTGCCTAAATCACAAGGCCCACATGAGACAATGTGATTGGGAGAATTATCTCAACCAAAAGCACCACGGACAACTCCACAAGAGTGCAACTCCATCGTGAAGACTCAACTACTACCCAGAAGGTTCCACCATGAACCCTCCTTATAAAGCACTGAGCATACTTCCCGAAATTCCCTCTCTCAGGAACGATCAAAGTTTCTATATGTAAGAACCAAGATGAGAGAGTCCTTTTAACCCCACAACCTCTTCACACCCAGAACACAAGATCCATAATACAGATGGGAGATAAATTAGACTCAACATCAATGACATTATTTTAAACAAATCTACAGTTTATTATTAATATAAGACATAATCAACTAACTCTTATTGCAGCAAAGAAAAACATCCTGCTTCTTCTATCCTGCATTATATCTGTGTTATGGGGCAGGGAGAACATGGATGCTTTTATTGATGATGCCATCAAGTAAGGTTATTAGTTCAAATAACTTTCTTATACTGAAATAACTTTCTTATACTGCCAGGAGTACATTGTCAGAGAAGAGAAACAAGGAGTTCTATGTGAATGAAAGCATTTGTAGAGAAAAGAGCTAGCACATGCAGATTTCAAGTATGTATTTATTCCAAATATAAATGAGATGACTGGGTCTGAATGCCCACACATCTGACTTAAGCATATCCAACACTATGGCCTTGGAGAAAAGAAAGAGAGGGAGAAGTGGGCAAGTGAGACTGAGAGAATCCCCATATTTATGCTGTTGCTCTCCTTTAACCTGGAATTCAGCCTCCACCACCACAGCCAAAATGCAAATAAAGCAAAGGAATTTAAATTCTAGGTTGTAAGCTTTCAAGGGCTCAGTACCTGGTAAGCCAAAGGGGTTTCAAGCGTTATTTTGACCTTGCATGATTTTCCTTTCTGGGATGAATATAGACCCTAGCCCTGTGTAAGATTAACTCCATGTGATATGTTCATAAATCCACTATAAACTTTATAATCACACTCTTGTCACCGGACACCTTTTTTCCTCATCCCTAGACTTAAAGCCACATGTCACACCATTATAATTATGACCTCTTGCCATCAGTTTGCCCACAGTGTTTTTTTGATTTATGAGTTATGAATCACATATCCAATTAGCTCTCTGTTTCCACTGTAAAATTTTAATGATTAAGATTGAGCTTAATTATCATTAATATGATAGATAAAAAGAATTTTGGACAAATGGACTTACAGAAATCATCTTACCCATCCCTGGAGCTACGTCAGCTCATGCTAACTTACCGTCTTGGGTGTACATTTAACAATTCTTTAAAAATCTTAGAAAACTAATTTCATTAAGAAAATACCATGGAACCACTCCCTCCTCTAATGAACAAATCAGGACACTTCCCATGTTATTTCATATGTGATGGGTTTTAAGTATTTCATATTAATGATGAGTGGAAGATGAAGAGAGAAAGAAGTATGTATCACATACTTCCACATCTTCTAGAGCTGCTTATGAGAACAAATGGCTACAATAGCCACAGCATTTGGTCTAACACTCCAAGTTAAAGTATCAGATATTATAGAAGAGGCCACTACCAGGACTTTTAAGTGTGAGAAAATTACATTCCTTGCAAAGGAAAAGATATCTGAGCAGTCAAAGGAGAAGCATGTACCCACACACAAAACACGCATACACACATAGTTTCACATTGATGGGTTCAGAAATAGAATGAGGCAGATGTAGAAGAAAAGACAAGCCAGGTTATCTTGATAAATCAAGAAGAAAATCCCACCTACCTGGTGACTGCCCGGGTGCAGATGGTAACCAGGAAACAGCCAGCCACGATCATCCAGCCCCAGCCTCCATCGGGAGGGGAGGTAGACCGAGCTCTATTTACTTTTGCCATGGTTTTTCTTTTTTCTTCTTTTCCAGGTTACTCCAACAGCCAAGTAATGATCTTGGAAGAGTTTTCTGTCCAGTGACTTCCTGCTGGCATTCAGGGGTTGGCATAGAATGCTACCTGGCACATGGGTTACTGGCCATCTAAAATTAAAAAATCAGGATGTATTTGTATTTTATTGCCATGTCCAAAGTTTGATTATTTTCTGTTGGTAAAAAGTAATTATCACTTTCCTATTAAATATGACTATTTGTAACTATGAATACTAGACTAGAGAAAAGACTATTCATTTTCCTTGGTACCCATCCTCCTCCTTTTTTTCTTTTTTAATAATAGAGCCTCTCAAATTTTAGCCAAATCCATATCCACCTCATTTGATACCATTTTCTCTAGTCTCTCTTGAATGTAGGTGTGGCAATACAGTTTTGTCTAGAGGAAAGAGATGTGAGCAGAAGCAATATGTGCCACCTCTGGTTCATCAACTCAAAGGCAAAGATACTTCCCCAAGACTTCCAGCACCCCTGTTCCAACAGACTGGAGCACTGACCCGGAGATGAGGCAGACCAGGACATGGGCCTAGGGGCCAGCAGAGCTACCACATGGAAACAGCCCAAATCCCCAGTGACTGTGAAGAGCTGTCCCTCCCATTGTGGACTTTGCACATGTCTACACTGTTACACGAAAGATAAAGAAGCTTCGATTTTATTTGGGCCTCTGTATTTTGGAGTCTCTCTGTTACAACAGGTTTGATCATATCCTAATTATTATACTGAATGAATCTGCCCGTAACTTCTTTGGCATTTTTAAGAATGCTATGCTTTTGTAAGTGTGTAATTGAAGCAAGAAGAAAATAACAAATAAATAAAACAGAATAGAACACCCAGGAGCTAGTATATAATATTTCAATATATTCTAAATAAGGTAGCAAAGATCAGGGGAGAAAAAAGTATTATTCATTATATCATATTACACCTCTCCATTTAGTTCTTTTTTTTTTTTTTTTTTTGAGACCGAATCTCAGTCTTTTTGCCCGGGCTAGAGTGCTGTGGCATCAGCCTAGCTCACAGCAACCTCAAACTCCTGGGCTCAAGTGATCCTTCTGCCTCAGCCTCCCG